ACAGATCACTGTTTTGAAATCAGTTACAGATAATGGAAGTCAATCTAGGAAGAAGAGAAACTCTCTAGAGAAACGATACTGAATTCCAACCATCGTTTGAAATACACATTTTCTGCCTTCTATGTAGTGTATGAGAAAAGGGATTCTGAAAAGGAGAGAAGCCAAAGGCATTTAGAATAAAAAAAGCTCGCTCTGAATTAAGGAATGAACTTTCAATTCAATTCTGAAAAAACAAAGGAACTTATCAGACTAAATTAAATGAGGAGCTGACAGAACTGTAGATGACTCATTGCAATTCAAGAAATTTATAACAGTGTAGAGGAAAACATAGAGAGCAGATGGTGCAAAGAATCCTCAGTACGAAACAGAGATCAACACTGAGCTCAAGAGCCAGAAACCATCCTTCAGCTTAGTACCAATGGCAAGAAAATGCTGCCATTAAAGTGATTAAAAGCCATGCTGGGCTTCTAAGCATTTTTTTTTTCCAAATGGTTTCATTGGGTAACCAAATTAGAGCTCTCCTGCAGCTTCTGGATTTGAAACAACTAATTAAAAGAACGTCCCATTGATTCATCATAGGAACATTAGAGAAATCTTTATAAATGAGCAAATAGGATTTACCTATCTTACAATTTCACAGTTAGAGAGCTCAAACAATAAATGGGTAGGATCTTTACAGAATCACAGAATCACAGAATTTCTAGGTTGGAAGAGACCTCAAGATCATCGAGTCCAACCTCTGACCTAACGCCAACAGTCCCCACTAAACCATATCCCTAAGCTCTACATCTAAACGTCTTTTAAAGACTTCCAGGGATGGTGACTCCACCACTTCCCTTTAGGGTCTAAATAACTTCTGCTCTAGTGAGCAACTCATATAAGAAGCTGAAATTTCTTCACAGAAAGTACTGTTTAAAAACACTTCACAAGAACTAAAGAAATAGAAACTGAGCTAGCTGCGGCTTTTAATTACTTAGTCTTATTTGCCCATTTCTTCGAACAATATCTTTCTGACTGGAATCCTTTTCTTTTTCTAAGTAATTATTTCCTCTGAGATGTGAATAGATAATCTGTGTGTGACAAATAGTAGGATCATCCTTTTGAACAATTAAGAAATAGTTAATGATAAGTCTTTTGAGGCTTCAAAAAAAAAGCCTTAAAAAAGAAAAAGTCCTAATTTTTACTCGGTACCCTAGTACAAACAAAATTATTCTTCTTGTATTCGGAGCCTTATGTAAGTACCTTCACATTTTGATGGTGCTGTGGTACGGGTGTGACATGAGCCTTGCTGCATAGGATTTTCGGTTTCAAGTGCAGGTCAAGCAGAGCTGGTTTACAGGAGGGCTGAAGTAATCTTTTCTTTTCTTCCATTACTTTGCTACTGAGTTGTTTCCTGGGGAGAAGACATGGGCTGCTTCTGATACTGAGTGTTTGAGTTGATCTTCTGTTACACCAAGGGGGATCCAGTGCACCCTCAGTAAGTTCACAGATGACACCAAGCTAGGTGCGTGTGTTGATCTGCTTGAGAGTAGGAAGGCTCTGCAGGAGGATCTGGATAGGCTGCACCGATGGGCTGAGGTCAACTGCATGAAGTTCAACAAGGCCAAGTGCCAGGTCCTGCACCTGGGGTGCAATAACCCCAAGCAGAGCTACAGGCTGGGAGATGAGTGGTTGGAAAGCTGCCTGGCGGAGAAGGACCTAGGAGTATTGGTGGATAGTCACAGAATCACAGAATCACAGAATTTCTAGGTTGGAAGAGACCTCAAGATAATCGAGTCCAACCTCTGACCTAACACTAACAGTATGAACCAGCAGTGTGCTCAGGTGGCCAAGAAGGCCAATGGCATCCTGGCAGTGTGGCCAGCAGGGCTAAGGAAATGATTGTCCCCCTGTACTCGGCTCTGGTGAAGCCACACCTCGAGTACTGTGTTCAGTTTTGGGCCCCTCGCTACAAGAAGGACATCGAGGTGCTCGAGCGGGTCCAGAGAAGGGCGACGAAGCTGCTGAGGGGCCTGGAGAACAAGTCCTACGAGGAGCGGCTGAAGGAGCTGGGCTTGTTCAGCCTGGAGAAGAGGAGGCTCAGGGGCGACCTTATTGCTCTTTAAATATACCTTAAAGGAGGCTGTAGTGAGGTGGGGGTTGGCCTGTTCTCCCACGTGCCTGGTGACAGGACAAGGGGGAACAGGCTAAAGTTGTGCCAGGGGTGTTTTAGGTTGGCTATTAGGAAGAACTTCTTGACCGAGAGGGTTGTGAGGCATTGGAACAGGCTGCCCAGGGAAGTGGTGGAGTCACCATCCCTGAAGGTCTTTAAAAGACGTTTAGATGTTGAACTTAGCGATATGGTTTAGTGGAGGACTTGTTAGTGTTAGGTCAGAGGTTGGACTCGATCTTGAGGTCTCTTCCAATCTACACAATTCTGTGATTCTGTGACATGCACTTGCTCAAATGGAAGAGTCACTGCAGTGAACTCAGGCTGAATACAAACTTAAATTGTCATATAAGTTTTTAAATCAGAACTCAAAGAAAAATGCACCACATGCAGTGTGTATGAAAAGCATACAAAGGTTAGGTCATAATATGAAGAAGTATAATACCAGTGGTTTGTATTTTGAAAAGCCCAGAAAGACCATGCGTATAATTATATTTGCATTTTAACCTGGTGTTTTCTCTAATCAAACTGGATGTTTTTGCAAGGATTTGGTTATTAGATTAATAAACCCACAACACAGTGTGATGAAGCCACAGTGTGCTGAAGAAGGTGGCCCAGCTGAGGAGGTCCGTCAGGCATGAACAGGCACACAGGGTGTATCAGACAAATCTGCAAAGCTCCCATAGACTCCACCTCTAAATCACATCTTGATGCCAGTGAATGACTGAAAACAACAAACAGTAAACAAATGTATATGAGGAATTGCCCTCATAGGCCCTTGATCAGTGTTTCACAAATACAAATCCATTTTTGCTACCTCGTGATTTCCTTTAAACAGACTGGTCTGTGTTCCCTGCTTGGAGTAGCTGATTTTACCCCAGAGTAAAATTACGAGAGCTCAGCTTCACCCTCAATTTTCAAGAACAAAAATATCATTTTAACTGGGGGAGTATTTATATGTACCCAGGGATAACATTTTTGCTCAAAATTTATGAATGCCTTTTATTTATTTATTTGTACTTCCATTATACTGTTTAAGGGCTTCCTGAAAATACATTAATCCTTTATTCAGCAAGGCAGGAATTCTTTTTCTTTTCTTTTTCTTTTTTTTTTTTTTTTTTCACTCATTCCCTTTGTTAACCTGTGGTTAAATGGCATAATTACAGGTGTGGAAAAGTTTCTTGTGTAAGCTATTTTATACACTTAATATCATTGTTGGTATGTGTATGTTTTTTATTTTTTAATTCAGTATCATGTGTTGGGCTGTTGGCTTTTTTTACATCAAAGTGGACTGGATTGTTATACTACACTATAGTTATCCACAGGGAGTACTGAAAGTAGATAGAAGTTTATTTTCTCTCACTGTCACAGAGAAGGAGATTGTTATATGCATGTCTGTGTGTAGAGCTTCCCTTCTTTCAAAGGAAAACAATCAGTTTTGTTTTCTTCAGTGTTTGTTTGCTTTTGTTTATTGATTGTTTTCATCTCTTAAACATCCTGAAATATTTACAAGAAAGAAAACAAAGGCACAGAATTTTGTGACTAGATGCAGATTCTTATTTTATTTTCCTAGGGAGACTCCTTCACCCAAAAGATAAAACCTGAAGTCATAAAAGCGTGTTATTTGTAGGAGACAGCTCCTTAGAAGCTTAGAAGAGGTTAAGTAAGATTCATAAAAGAGAGGAGTGGGGGAGGGTGTGTAATAAAGTGGTATATGTTACTTGAATGACAAATAGGGTAAGCTGTGAACCACTGGAAGCACGTGTTTTGTGGGAGACAACCTCAGGAAGTTGTCAGGACCCAGATGTGCTGCTTGGGAGCTGGTTTGTTCAACCTTCTCGGTTGTCTTCAAGACTGTTGAACAATGTGATTGGTTTTGTTGTGACATTTGGGAAAGCTACACGTCAATACAAGTAAAGCAGCTTTAGTGTCAGGAGAATACTAGGCTTTCTTTGCCATACTCGACCAGATTAATAAAATAAGCAAAGAGTTTTCCAGAATTGAATTTTTGCACCATTTGACATTATTACATAGTAGGCACTGATCCTTCTTCTCCAAAAGGGCAGCAAATCCAATTCTTAAAATCACTTAGCCCCACAGTGAGATAGTTTGGCTCTTGGGTGCATCCACCCATGTTAGGCTCCTTCCATAAACTGCTGGAAACGGTTCCTGCTCACTGCACTGCCGCAGACCTACACTGCCAAGTGCTTCAGGTAGGCTTCGGGCACCTTTGCTGCCATGGCTTGCCCATAACCCTGTCCCTGCCCTTGGCCTCCTCAAACAAGCTGGGTATTACATACACACAGCCACCTCCCTGACAGGCTGAAACACTCTTGCTTCTGTCAGCCCAGCTAGCAGAAACAGAACACGTTACATCTGTCTTAAGTTGTGTCACATTATTTTACCCCTAGGGGTAAATCAAATGTACATTTTACACAGCTGAGCTATGACATTTAAAGCAGAGTATCCTGAGTTTTGAATTTACTGTTTCTGAAACATGGCTCTGCTCTGGATGCGATGTCCTCAGAGCCAGCAGCGCATCCTGGTTGTGCACAGCCAGCGGTGGGGACTGGCACGGGCCCCTTTTTCTGGGAGACACAGAAAAGACGTTTCTGTATTTTTGTATATAGCTATTTTTCAGAAGCTGGTCTGCACTTTAATGAAGGAGTTACTGGTGTGTACTTGCAATGTTAATTCCAGGTTATATGGTTTCCCTGAGAATTGCCATCTGTCATGCTTTTCTGCCTGGAGGTCACTCAAAGTTACCACGGGTTGGTATCCTAAGACAGTGGGATGAAAGGATAAACCGTGTGCTTCGTCTTTAACCCTTAGTTATCCTTTTCCCTTTCAGCACCCTCCTTGATAGGTATGGTAAGGAAGGACTGGGCTTCCCAAAACAGCATTGCCCTCTCCTGGCAAGAGCCGGACTTTCCCCATGGAGCCATTCTGGACTACGAGATCAAGTACTATGAGAAAGTAGGTCACACTTACAGCATCACCCCAACTCAGTTCCTAAAGATCAATATGTTTTGTTATTTTTGTATTTAAAAAAATAGCATTTTAAACCTTTCACTCAATCCCATATACAATGCTTTATAAGCAGACATTTTTTGTTGGATTTTTTACAGATTTTTTGTTGTTGCACTTCTGACTTGTTAATGACTGTCTTGTTTCATGTCAGAACTAAATAGAGCAGCAGGCAGGCAGTAGATATACCTGTCTCATAGTAGCAGCAATTATGAACATGGATAAATGGATTGTATAATTGAGCATGTTTTGATGCATAGACTGTAAAAGCTTTACATTGAAGTGGCACTGAAACAATATATCTAAGGAGAACAATGTAATTTCACTTTGTGCTATTATTTAGCAATAATCTGTGCTTAAATGATAGAATTCATTAGCCTCATTTAGGGGGTTACAAGAGATAGAAACTGCATGGCAGTGGGCAACAACATGCATTACAGGAAAAGGTACGAGGTGACAGACAGCATGTCCTACAAAAGCATAATCTGAAGCCTGCTTTTTCCAAAGCATACATGTAGAACATTTAATTGTTTCCAGTTAGCTACAGGGCCTAGCACTAGTGTAAAAATTTAGTGCAAATCAATGTCTTAATTCCATGAAACATAGGAAAGAATTTCTTGATGTGCATATCTTAAAGAGTAATCTGCTAAATCAGTTCTTGCTGTTTCTTTGTCCCCATCTAAAAGTCACAATGGAACTAATGGATAAGTGAGAAGACCACAAAGAACAGTAATATAAGCCAAGGCATGAAAGACAGATTTAGGGATGATAGGCTCTGTAAATATCAGAATTTCCTTCCTTGGCTGCCCTTCTCTATTGAGATTATGCAGCTTTAATGATGCAGAAAAAAAGGGTAAACTGGGGAAAATCCAAGTAATTTTAATAGTATAGCTAGAGGGAGAAAACAGTTTGTTTAGAACATTTGGCAGTCAAGCAAGGAAACTTTATTTTCCTTCAATGATGGAACTCTTTCAAGTTTTGATCCATTACCATAGCAAACTATACTATGACTAGCACTGCCCTTTTTTGTTTATTTATATTAAAATAACCAAGTGAATTAAAATAGATAAATAGCAAGTTTTTGTTCAGAACAAATATCCAAAACCATTCATATGGATGTTAAATTACAAAGCTCATATTTATAAAAATCTTATATCAATAGATCATCTGCCAATATCTGTCAATACTGAGTGACAAGGCAAATAGCTCTTCTTAGAGATCTACATATTGGTAAGTCCTGTCCATTATACAAGACTGGAGAAACAGGCTTTGTGGCCCTGTGATATATATAGTTTTAACTGCTCCTGTCCATTTCTACAAAAAAAAAAAAAAAGAACCATTTTCTATTTTCACCTTTTGTAATGCATAAGGAGTATCGTTTAACTATTAACATCTCCTCCCTCTTAGGCGTGGGGAGATAAATGCACTGCTGGCATCTTCCAGTACTGTTGTACAGGGATTATTTTCTCCCTAAGTCACTAACTGGACTACATGCATAGCTCTCCTGTACACCTTTTGTTGTTAAGGTAGAACTTATACGCTCTCTGTCAGTGCTATGTAATAGATGGAATGAGAGACAAACACTCCAGCACCTAACAGTAACAAAGCCACTTATTTGAGCAGAACAGCTATGTGACAGATTTGCAAGAGCTCTCTTGAAGACCACATTCTAGAGAGATTAATAATCTCATACTGCAAAACACTCTGTTGATTTGCAGTATTAAATTACAAAATGTGATTCTTTACCACTTTAATTACATTTAAATATTGCTGAAGAAGCATACATTACAACTATACTCCTGGGTAAGTATAGTGGCCAAATGCAAATGGGATTTGTATGTTTAAAAAGAAAAAAAAAAGGAGTGTCTACCTCAAAGTCGGAAAATATTAACATGAACTTTAACAAATTCCGTCTTCTTCACCTTGAAACTCCACATATTAAATAGCACAGTCTGTGTAATGTCAGGGGTAGATACAGCAAGTGTAATCTTTCAGGCTTCCTAATGACCCCAAAAGGGGAAAATATCACCATTCCTACTATCAGAAGTGACAAAAATAGGGATGGTGTTGCAAAATTACAAGAAATGTGATAAAAGGAAAATAATTTAACCAAATTTAGTATGAATTTACCACAAAGATGACCCTCCTCTGGAGAATAAAAAGTTGAGCTAAAGCTCAAAAACAAGTTAAATATTAAAAGCTCAGAAAATTTCTTAATGTCTTAAGGAAACAATAAAAATGAACAAGCGTGCATTTGTATTAGGTACTGTTATACAAAAGAATTAGTAAAAAGAAACAGAGTTTACAGTCCTTTCTCAATCCTTCATTACCTGTCATTTCTGTTAGAAAAGAGGTTTTGTTCTTACATACAATATAAGGAATTGAATGTTTCCATCAGATACAAACACTCAATATTCTGGTCTCAACAGGTTGTATCCATTTCTTAACTTTGAGAAACTTTGAAGAACCCTGCAGGATTTAAAATTTTTATAACTATGAACATCTATTTCTTATAAGACTCCTTGGTGACGTTTGCAAAATTATGAAGACACTGGAGACCCTAAGGGAGCATGCTTTCTTTTAATTATAACCAGTAGGAATTCTGCAACTCGTAAATGGAAGTCATTTCTTGACATGTGCTCCCATGGTTTAGTGAAAGATCTGTAAGCTTACAGAAATCCAGTAGCCATCTAACAAAATACCGTGGACAATTAAAAATGGGACTGTTTCCAACGATTTTATAAGTAGGATAAATTAGTGGTGGTGAACTCAGAATACACAGAAGCATCCTCCCACGCATATCCACAACAAGCAGAACAAGGGAATAAGACTAGACTGTGCTAGATCTTCATGAAAGTTTTATTTGCAGTCTTGTGTGATACAATTTGTACGCCATGGAAACCATGGGATCAAGCCTCTTATCTCTTTGTGAAAAATAGTTTCTCATCTTCCGAGAAAGATGCTACCAAGTAATCGAGAAATAAAGTAGAAAAGTTATACAAAACTATCAACAAGCTTACAAGTATGGAAGCCATACATTCATTCAAAAATATAATAAAGCAGCTCAGTAATTTGACTGCTTTAAAGCACTCTCTTCCATATGACCTTCATTTCTTCAGTGAATTGCTGAAAAATACTCATAACTTTAACAAAATATTGTTTGCCTTTGTCAGTCCCTAAAAATGAAAATCTTGAGAAAATAGCAAAATTTAATTGTAAGCCAGTTCTGTATGTATCCTACATATTTTTTGTTCTAGGAATACACTCACACATGTTTGCGGGGTTGGCTGACAAGGGGTCACTATTCTGCAGCTTTTCAGCCAGAAATGTAGGAAACATAAGGTGACCTAGGACATAATTTGAGAGCTGACTTGGCCTGCGAAGTAAACAAAAATTGTAAGAAATTTAGTCCAAGATGCTATGGGTTTCTGTCACAGTGAAGAGCAGAAGTTTTCTGTTGCATAGTTACATGGTATACCCAGAGAGAGAATATGATCCTAAAGTAATACTGCATGTTGGGGCTTTGTAGTTGAAATATCTTATTTCCAGTAGATTTGGAATCATTCTGAAAAAGCTACAGTTAGCAACATTTGTCACCTTAGACAATAAGTGAGTCTTTACTGCAGCACACAAAGAATCCATTAAGTGTTTGACCTTAGAGATCTAAGATGTACTCTGTAAAGCATTTCTTCAAAGACCTTCTTTGTAGTCCTCACAGATACTAAACATTTGCAAGTTATCTCTCTTGCTACAGGATGTCTACCCTGTTCTACAGTCTGTTATTTATCCATTCTATTTTACAGTCCTTTAATATCTTCCACAAACAGCAAAGTACTTTTAGAAGAAAAGATTCTTTCATAGGCATTGTTGTCTTTCCCTTCAAAAATCAAACTCCAGATATCAATATAATCTCTGTTTCTTTGCTAAAAGAAATCAATTTTTTTCTTTATACTTTAACACTATTACTCAGACACTGACTAAAGCTTTTACAGTGTGAAAGATTCCAGGGCATCATAATCTGATCACCTTTACAAAGGTTGCATGCTCAAGTCAGATGAAGGCTGATATGACCTTGCCACAGCCTTGCAGTGAAGCTGAGTCCTTCTGTAGGAATTCTCTCATGGGAAAGGAAGCACAGTACACAGTGGTATAAACCATACCAGCTGCACTTCAGGTGGTGCGGCTGAACTGGAAAATGCTTATTCCTCCCCTTTTCCACCCAAACCCTCGAAGTTAATCATCAAAAATTAATGTTCCCTGAGAGCTGTGTTAAGCATACCAAGCTGTATACATATCAGAAACTATATTAAGTTTTAAGTTCTCCCATATGGCCTAAATACACCAGCTGGATTGTATTTTCCGTTACAAGATAATAAATAATTAGCTGATAAAGTTGGTCTATAGGGAAGAGATTTTATAGGATTCATCCAAGCAATATCCAAGGCATTGCAATGACATCTGCAAATAGAAAGCATCTTCTGGAGCAGGATGCAGGATGGAAAGACTGGCTGATGGTTCTTTGCTTTCTTGTCCATTGGTGAAATTTGCACTAAAGCCAAATCCCTTTGATAAAATGCTTCATTTTGGTGGCAGATTCAATTCGTAACTTACAGGCAGTTTTCACATAAAAATTTTAACCCACCTCTACGTGACAGTGATAAGACAAGATATGTAGGATGTCAGATCTGACTTTTCCTCCGCTCCACTATTATTTAGCATTGGATTAATAAGTAAAGGAGAGAAAATAACCAAGTAGTAGAGACAGGGGGAAAATTAGTTTCCCAATGAGAGTTTGAAAAGAGATGAAGAGCCAATGAAGCAGGTAGATAAAGTACCAAATTTAAAGAATTGGAAACAAATATGACCTTGTTAATTTTTCTATCAATCTACAGCTCTATTTAATTAACTTCTATGTGGAGTGATGCTCACTTAAATTCCAATATTAAAGC